GGTATACCAGGGGTCTGCCCCTACTTTGACGATGTCTTGATTGCAGGAGACTCCACACACATTCTAGCTGAAAGGCTTAGGGCTGTCCTGTTAAGATTCAGGAAATCAGGCCTCAAGCTCAGAAAAGACAAATGCCAGATTGGGGTGCCTTCTACTGAATTTCTGGGATTCAAAATTGATGCTGCTGGGATTCATCCTGCTGAATCCAAACTAACTGCTATTTTAGATGCACCCAGGCCAAAGTCTAAGGCCGAACTTCAGGCCTTTCTAGGCCTCCTGAATTTCTACAATTCTTTTCTTCCACATAAAGCTAGTGTAGCTGAGCCTCTTCACAGGCTACTAGACAAACAGGCTGTGTGGCTGTGGTCACAAGCGCATGAGGCTTGCTTTAAAGAAGTCAAGGCCTTGCTCACTTCTAACAGTGTTCTTGCACATTTCAACGAGTCTCTCCCTGTGTGCATCGCTTGTGATGCGTCCCCCTACGGGGTTGGAGCTGTCCTGAGTCACCTCAGGTCTGATGGAACTCAGGTTCCTATTGCATACTACTCCAGAACACTGTCTTCTGCCGAGCGCAACTACGCTCAGATAGACAGGGAGGCTCTGGCTGTTGTTGCTGGAATTAAAAAATTCCACGATTTTCTATATGGCAGGCATTTCACGGTCTTCACTGACCATAAGCCTCTGCTGGGACTGTTTACCACACGTAAACAGACTCCCCACATCATTTCCCCTAGAATGCTTAGGTGGTCTATTTTCTTGTCTGCATATGATTTTTCATTATTCCACAAGCCTGGGAAAGAAATGGGCCATGCTGATGGCCTCAGTAGGTTGCCTCTGCCAGTAGTAGAAGCTGACCCCGCGCCAGCTGTCAACATTCTATCAATCCAAGCCTTGCCCGAGCTCCCTCTTAGTGCCAGGGATGTTACCGCTGAAACAGGTACAGATCACACACTTTCACGTGTCCGCTCCTGGGTCCTGTCCGGGTGGCCTGAGCACTGCCCTAGTCCTGAGTTTCAGAGTTTCTGGTCCAAAAGGAACGAACTGTCCCTTTCTCAGGGTTGTCTGCTTTGGGGAAACAGAGTTGTCATTCCCACCTCAATGAGGACTAGGGTCTTAGAATCCCTCCACGAGGGTCATCCTGGCATTGTTCGTATGAAGGCTCTTGCACGCAGCCACTTGTGGTGGCCTGCTTTAGATAAAGATATTGAGGCTAAGGTACACGCATGCCACCTGTGCCAACGATCTCGCCCAGAGATGCCCCAAGCTCCTGTGCATAGATGGGAGGAAACACAGTCCCCATGGTCTAGGGTGCACATTGACTACGCTGGGCCCTTTCAGGGCCAGTTCTTCTTGGTCCTTGTTGACAGCCATTCAAAATGGCTTGAGGTTGTGCCTGTCTCATCCACCACCACTGCAAAGACTATTCAGGTACTGAGGGGGATTTTTGCTGCACACGGGCTGCCAGATGTCATTGTGTCCGACAACGGCCCTCAATTCACCTCCTCCGAATTCCAAGCTTTCTTACAGGCAAACCTGATTCGTCATGCCACGTCTGCGCCTTTTCACCCGTCCACCAACGGTATGGCTGAACGCATGGTGCGCATCGCAAAGGACGCCTTGAAGAGACTCACCTACGGGGACTGGCATCACAGGTTGGCTGACTTTCTCCTTTCTTATCGCACCACACCGTCCACTTCTACAGGGAGAAGTCCAGCTGAACTTCGTTGGGGGCGCCAACTTACTACTAGACTTGACCGGTTGCATCCGGACAGACTGCCTTCATCTACCTCACATCCTAGGGCACCTAGACAACTACTTGTGGGTGCCCCGGTTTGGGCTCGCAATTACGGGCCTGGTCATACATGGGTCCCCGCTTCTGTGTCCAGGATCACAGGTCCTCTCTCCTACGAGGTTGCCCTGGACAACGGTCGTGTCCTGCGTCGGCACATCGACCAACTTCGCTCTAGGCGAGACTTTTCTGCTGAGACTCCTGGGTCTTTTCCAGGGGGGGAGGGGGACCCTTTGGAGCAAAGGGAAGGGCAAGAGCTACTGCCCATCTCCACTGAGGGAGCCACAAACGGCTCGTCCCAAGGTTCTGCAATTGCTCCGAAAAGAAAGTCATGGAGCTTACCCACACAACAGGCACTCACGCCTACTCCAGCCAGGGAGTCACCCCGGGGGCATACTCACTTTCCACACACATCACACAGCACTCCAGCAACGGAGGATACCCGGGGGCATCCCAACAAATCATTCCCCGCAAGAGAGCTGGCACACAATTCCCAAGGTTGGCCTGACCTTACCCCAAATCCTACAGGGGGTCAAACATACACAGAGCTAGTCGAGGAACCAAGTCCCGACTACAACAACCCTAGCACAAATCAGGGAACACCTGAGTTTTGGGAAAGTACAGAAACCCACACGAGCCCGAACACAGAATGGGGTTCAGGGAATGGACAGCCTCCTGACAGGTCTTGGACTGACCTAGGAGGTTCTACAGAGACGCCCAGCAGCGGCTATCACTTCAAGGGGCCTGAGGGTCTACAGCTAGGTAGGTCAACCAGGTCACAAAGTAACAGAAGCCCTGGCCTGACGAGCCCGGTGGGCAAGCAAGCAGGCCAGGCATCGGGGCACAGTCCTTGGAAGACACCAGGGCACAATAGAGAGAACAGGCTCACGCCTCCCTCCAGTCAGGGGACTTATGCCAGTAACCCAGAGCTAAGAAGGTCACAGAGAGCAAAGAAATCTCCTAAGTATCTAGAAGATTACATAACATTGCTGGCAAGGCAAAAGCCAGTAATCAGTGGGAGCACTGGGGAGCAAAATGTCATATAAAATAAATGTTGTATGTTGGTAGTAGTTTTAGCCCGGGGGAAAGGGGTGTTATGTCCCGAGCCTTGCAAACGGCTCGGGCGTTTGCAGGCAGTCCCGGGCAGGTGCAAAGCTGCCCGGGACCAGACAGGCTGTCGCCAGCGCCGTGCGCATGCGCGGGTGCTGGCGCGGGAAAAGTAACCCATTTACCCGGGAGTTGCCTATATAAGAGGCTGCGAGGCGTTTGGGCGAGGCTGAAGCCATCTTCCTGTAAGCTGAACGCTGAATAAATGAAACTGAGAACTCCAGCTACTTCTCATGTCTGTTTTCCCACCACGGACTCAACAGTGTGCATGCCCACAGAGAGGGCTCTGAGTGCCGCCTCTGGCACCCGTGCCATAGGTTTGCCACCACTGACCTATACTATACCTGTACATTTGGTTTTTCTTGCCTAAACGTAGAACCTTACTTTTTTCACCACTGAATTTCATTTTGTTAGATAGCGCCCAGTGTTCAAGTCTTTCCAGGTCCTCCTGTATCTTAAGCCTGTCTTCTGGAGTGTTGGCTATTCCTGCCAGCTTGGTATTGTCTGCAAATAAGGGAAGTGCTTCTGCTCAAAAGCTTCAGCAGATGAGAGCACCCAGACAACTGGAGTGGATCCAGAATCTAAGCAAACCAAGATACATCACCTGCATGCCATCATCAAGGGTCAAGTTCAGCCTAGAGTGTCATACCTCTAGTTCTTTTTCCAGGATGTTTCTTTGAGTTGGCAGTCTTGCCTCCAGCCCTGAAATTTCCTTAAAGTCTTCCATCCAAGAAGTTACCATTCTTACTCCATTTCAGACAGAGTTGTCTGGCATCCATTAGCTAAGGGGATGATTTTATGTGCTACTGCTCAGAAGACCTTCTTTCATTATTGTGTCTAATGAACACATGATGATTGGGAGTAGCTACAATGATTTATCTCACACCTTCCTTAGGCATCCTATCATAACTTACAGCCCCTTCTCTTGAGGGATGGGGATACATTTACAGGAATTTATTTATGAGATTAGAGGGTACCTCTGAGTGAAACATTAGTCTAGTAGCTTAGAATGAAACCTATGTTTGGGTCTCAGGAACTCCCTAAAAACCCAGCTTTGCAGAAAGATCAGCAGTCCCTTTACATTTTCCAACCTGGAGGATGTCTTCAAATATTGCATGGAATTCTTTATGGCAAATCATGAATTGTTTTTTATGTGATTTGGGTTTTTCCATCCAACATGTTGAAAGCTAAGGTCTGCATGAGTTTAGAGGTCATGCATTTTATCTTGGAAAAGAAGCTATTCTTTACTGTCCAGGCTGCTGGGCTGCTATTGTGCGTAACATCTTTATTAGTTTGCCTCCAGTGCACTCCCAGTCAGTCCCTATATCCAGGCCAAAACAAGCACTCATTCCACTCTCAGTAGCTCCACTGTAAAAAAAATGGCTTGGGAAAGTTTATTTATTAAATATAAGGAGACCTCAAAGTATTAAGTGGCCAAAAAGAGATAAAAAGCAGCAAGACAGCTGAAGAGAGAGGAACAGAGAGACATGGACACTTGGCAATAATGTACAGTATTTACAGTACACATCTATATATCAAAAGGCACAAATTTTTTAATGCTTCTGGAAATAATACGGAAGGTTATAATGAGCAGGTTTCTATAGTTTGGGAAATCTGTTACTCCTGCAAAGCTGTGTACTTAGGAAGCTCACCGACAAAACATAAGTTTCAATCTGCTGGACTAATATAGTTCTGCTCTTACTTTTTAATGAAATCTGCCCAAAGCTGGCTCAAATCAGACAGCCTCTAAATCCAATAAATAAATTCCTGTAAATTTACCCCCATTCTCATTCCTTGACAGATGGGGATGTAAACATATTGGTGATTGGAACCAATCCTCAGACTTTAAGATAGGATGTCTAAGGAAGGTATGAGATAAGCCATCCTGGCTAAATATATCAAAACTCTGCAAAATAAAACAATGTAATCTTATGCTTTGAACTTCTCACTTTTGAAAATGTTATCTTAATTAAAATCTTGGCCTGAGAACCAAATTCCCTGAAGTAGAAGTTACTCAGAACCAATCCCTGCATATAAGGTTGGCTGCAGGGAGAATGTCAAGTTCTCTAACTTGATTTTTTCATAATGAATAGACAGTTTTTTTCTCTATTCCTCAGTTATTAAGTAAACATTAAATTATGTTGGTTATAGATAGATAATCTATTAGATACTGAGTCTATATCTTATTTTCTTTGTGTGTGTGTGTCTCAGTGTGTGTGTGAGACGCTATTATTTCTAAAAATTAGATCTTTATCTGATCAAATCAAAATCGCAGCAATGCCTGCACCTATCTGTATATCTGCAGCACAATTTTTTCTCTCTGATTTGATTTTAAAAAGTTGCAGATTGTCTCACTAATTTTCAGAACGGAAGTTGCTTGTTTCCTGAAGGATGTAAGACAATGAATCTTGCACTGTAAAAATAATTACAATATATTTGAATAGAATCACAATGCATGATTTGAGGAAGCCATGAAAGAAGCAACGAAAACAAAATCAGCTGAGCGAAGAATCAGAAATTCAAATGGAGCTTTTTGATTTTAAAAGATCCTGTTTTTCCCCATTTGCTGTTGTGAACACCTGCAGGTATATAATTCTTGATTTCTGAAGAGACAATTGTTCCTGGAAAGCTTATATTTTATAAAAGTTCAACTCATAAAACAGTATTTGCAAATAACTTTCAGTCAGACAGTTATAATTACAACATGACAACTAATACAACTGATGTGTGTGTTAATGTGTGTAATAATATAATAACGATAATATTATTGTTATATATTGTATATAAAATAATATATAATAATATAATATTAAAAATAGTATTCTTTCTATGTCTAGGATTCCTAACGCAGTAAATGACATATTTCTCTCTCTCTCTCTCTCTCTCTCTCTCTCTCTTTCTTTCTCTCTCTCTCTCTCTCTCTCTCTCTCACACACACACACATCAATTTGAACCAATTTAAGATTTGAAAGGGCAAGGATTCAGTTACAATTTAAGATTTGCAGGGAATGCAAGAATTCAGTTGGATTGTTTGGATTTAAATATAACAATCTGTGTCTGTGAAAACACAATAACCTAAATTTTAATCCCACCTTAGACATAAAGTTAGCTGAATGAATTTTGGACTGGTCACTGGGAAGAAGGAGGCAAGAGCAAACCACTGAAATTTGCCAGGATATTGCACCAGGACAGCTCCCTGGTGCCTGCAGGCATTTGCCTATGCAGTCTTTAGGGGTCAACAAGAACAAACCATTTTTTTTTTTAAAAAAAAAAGATATGTTCCAAAGGAATAATCTGCAAGAGTTAGTTCATTTATTACATTTTTTATCCTGCCTTTATTATTTATAAGTAACCCAGGACAGCGAACATACCTAACTCTCCTCTTATTTTCAGTGCAAAAAATAACCCTGTGAGTTGGGCTGGGCTTAGAGAATGACTTTGCCTATATTTAGTTTTTAGGCTACAAATGCTAACAACTTAGTTAGAAGAAGTGCAGAGAGGAAAGGGAAATGGTCTTAACTAGTTGCTTCTGTGTGGACATCAGACCTGAGCTTTGAGTCTTTCTATCGGTAGTCAAACTGTGGAGCAAAGCAGTGTTGAAGGAAAAATCTTCATCAGGGTCCAGTCCAAGCTGGGAATAAACAACCTGGCAATTGTTTTAGAAAGAAGGTTGCAGTTTATTGAAGAGGAGAGCCAGACAGAAAGATGGTGCTGGGGGAAAAAAAGAGTGAGCACATGTAGTAGGGAGTGGGTTTTTATACCTTCTTGGGCTTTTGTTTGAAGTTGTTCCTGTGTCATGAACTTTGACCTGAGTCTGAGTGTGCCTTTCTGGTATTCTGATGGTGATGAATTAATTCTATTATGTCCTGTCTTAGAGTTTGGGTGGGGTATGTAAATTTTAAGGGACTTTGTCTTCCTGATCTCTTCAGCTTCTAGCTGGAAGGCTCCAACCTTCCTGAATGGATTATTACATCTGCATTTCTAAAAGCTGGTTTCTGCTGAGTTGTCTGGCTGGAGGGAGAGGAGGTGTGGAGAAGTTTCTGCCTTTTTAAAGATCTTCTCCATTATTTCTTTGGGAAAATATATTCTGCCTTTTTAATATTCCCCAAAATATTTATTTCTCTGGATTCTTCCCTCAGCAGCATTGCCACTCATCTGAGCTTCCCCCCTCGCTGATGTGCCTCCTTCTTGTGCATGCATTAATATAAGAGCAAATTTACTCTCTGGCCATTCATGCAGTGGATTTTCTCATCCAGTATCAGACATGGCAGGGACAGACAAATGTAGAAGCTACATAATATCAAGTTACTTGATTTTATTTTATTTTTCAGCCGTGCATGAGGAAAATGAAAGGGAATAAACCTGGGTGGAAAGAGAAGAGATCAGACAGTTTGGGCAGTTTATTCCAGTTTGGACCAATATATGGAGATGAAAGGAAAGATGCAGATGGCTATGAGGAAGTAAAGCACCATGTGAAGAAAGCACAAATCAGGCAAAAAATAGGAAGAAGATCAAGTTTTGAAGACAACTGAACTCAAAACTTCAGTATTTTGGACACTCCTCAAATATATTGATATCTATTAGTTTTATTCATATTTAAATCTATGAATCATTCTATGGATGGATAGATGATTAGATAGATGATAGATAGATAGATAGATAGATAGATAGATAGATAGATAGATAGATAGGTAGGTAGATAGACTTAGTTGTATAATTTGTTTATTTATATATTTATTTATTTTTAACTTTATATGCCACAGAACAACATATATCAAAATAATATTTTTCAATGCTTCCTTACAAAATTTATAAAAACTGTAATTTGTTAACTAATGACAACAAATCAGAATTGTGCAAGACCTGACATATCAAAACACCACTTGGAACATACGAGTCCCAAGCATAATACTAGAATTAAACTTTCCAAAACTGTGTTTAATGGGAATTTTTTTTTTTAAAAGATGCTTGGAAGGGTTGCAAACAAGTGCTGCTTCCATACTTTTGCACATTTTAAAGTACCCTTTTAGAATCAAATCTGAAGCAATACATAATTTGTTAATACAGTGGAAACAAATAGTGCAATCCAGTGTGGTTCAACCTTCCCCAGTCTGTCAACTTCCAAATCTGTGGGGATACTAGGATACTTCAAAATTCTAGCAATCTGATCTCAACATGAGCAGCAGGTAGTGAGTTGCGCAATGCTGACATTATCCCAATGAAGACTTGTGCACATCCTTGTGCCTTTTCACAAAAATACACTGTTCCTCCTGAACATTAGTAATAATCTTATCAGACATGGCCCATGATATACTGTTTCTTCAATTTAAAGCAAAATGGAGAAGGGTTGAAAAATATATATATTAATATTTGTGGATTTCAACGGGTTTATGACAAAGGTTATCCCAAATTATTTTCATATCTTTAGATAAAAACTTGGCAACGAAGGAGGAATGAGAGAGGAGAACATAACTTCATGGAGAGAATTTCTTCTGGTTGGTCTTCTGCATCAGTGGTCACCCACCCTGTTCCTTTGGGGGCTTCTCTTCATGTTTCTGATTGCTCTGATGGGAAACAGCCTCCTTATTTTTCTGATTAAAACAGACTCTGGACTTCAGACTCCCATGTACTTCTTTCTTAGTCAGTTGGCTTTCATGGACCTCTGCCAAGTTCTCTCCATCGTTCCACAAGTATTGGTCAGCTTTGTAACTAAGAGGTATACCATTTCACTCTATGGGTGTGTTGTTCAGATTTCTGTAATTTTGATTTTGGCAGGAGCAGAATGCCTCATCCTGGCAACCATGTCTTATGACAGGTACGTAGCCATCTGCAAACCTTTGCAATATCCTATCCTCATGAGGAGGAGTGTCTGTTACATGATGTCAGTGGCAGCCTGGTTTTGGTCCACTGTCCAGGCACTCACTTGCTCTCTTTATGTCCTGCCCCTTCCTTACTGCAAGTCCAATGAGATTAACCATTACATGTGTGATTATCCAGCTCTTATCCAGCTGTCTTGCTCAGATAATTCTGCTTTTGAAAGAACAACGTATTTTGGAAATTTCATGGTACTACTCATCCCCATTTCACTTATCCTTACTTCCTATGTTTCCATCCTCCTCCAAGTTGTGAGGGTGCGATCTTCTGAAAGGAGCCACAAAGCCTTGGGAACTTGTATGTCTCATTTATGTGTAGTTGGGATCTATTACATAACTGCTATTGTAACATACATGAAACCTGCATCCTCTTATTCACCACAGGAAGCCATGATTAATACACTGTTCTTTACCACTCTGCCTGCCATGACAAACCCCTTTATATACAGCCTGAGGAATCAGGATGTCTTGGAAGCTCTGAGAAAAGTCTTCCAAAAACATAGCTTGCATGACTGACTAGGTAGTAAAAACTTAACAGTGAATATTTTCTGTTTGAAATCTGGTCATCTGCTCCAATAAGAAGTACAGTTACTGATATTTGATAGCATTGGATGTCTCTTTTTAATTGCTGTTATTCAACTGATGGGAAAGTGAACTTGCATCCAAAGGTGCATAATGTAATTTGAGTCCAAAATATTAAATTCCCTAATCCAGACATCCCCAACCTTTTGGGCACCAGGGACCGGGTATGTGAAGAGAGGTTTTTCTGTGGACCAGAGGGTGTGTGGTTTTGTGTGCTGCCTGCATCCTGTGGATGGGGCTTTGCTTGTTTGTGCGGATCGGTTGCTGGCATGCCACAGCCTGGTACTGGTCCACGGACTGGGGGATGGGGACCCATGGTCTAATCTACTTAGATTATCAGCATACCTAGTGAAAGTGACATTTACTTTAAGCAATCGGTGCTTGGTGATGTAGAGATATTGTACAGCGTTATTATTTGAGGGGGGGGGTTATGAAAAATGTTTCTTTCATGGAACAGTATAGAGGATGAACCTCTTAGAGTTTAATTTTCCATATCTACTCTGTTGCCATTATTCATATACATTAAAAGCTTTCCACGTGAAATAACCAAAGGCTATTCCATTAAGGATTGCCCTTGGAATCACCCTCTGTATCATTTCCAGAAGCTCTGGAAAGTCCAAGCAAGAACAGAGTCCTAAAATTAAGTGGACTGTGTGGAAAGAGTTCATTATATTGGTTCCCTTTTTTGCAAACCTTTCCCCATTTGGAGCCATAAGCAGCTCAACGTTTAGACCTTCTGTCTCATCTCTGAAACAAATATGTCTCCATCTTCACTTTAATGCCTTTTTGCACTACATCAAAGGAGCAACTGTAAGCTATGAGTCACCTGGACCAAAAAGTCCTATTTTGGAAAACAGGAAGGATTTGTTTCTTGAAAAGAAGGGGACTAGCCCAAAAGGATTCATCCAGGATCTGTGCCTTTTGATACATAGATTTGTAAATACTATACATTCTTGCCCAGTGTTCATATCTATCTGTCCCCCCCTCTCTCTCCCATTACTTTGCCTGCTTTTTTATCTCTTTTTGGCCACTTAATAATTTTGAGATTTCCTTATGTTTAATAAATGAACCTCATCGAGCTAAGTTTTTTTTTTTTTTTTTTGCTAATGGAGCTGTAGAGAGTGGCATGTGTGCTATGATAAATTATGAATATTTTATTCGAGAAACAAAGTATCGGCACTACATAGTTAAATCAAAAACTGAATTCCCCTCTCCTGAGCACAAAGTAACAAAGCACAATTCCCTCCTCCAATTAACTGTCATAAATCACATTCCCCAATTAGCTTGAAGTGCAGGCTTTCTCCCCAGATCTCCAGCCTGCCAAATCTTTATCAACTTTGGGCGCAATAACCTTGGATTCTCACGGCTGAGTTATTATTGTTATGACTAACTGGACTCTCATCCACCTTCCCCCTCCCAGCATCAACTAACTCTAAAAACAAAAGAGTAAAATGGCTGCATTTCCATCTGTTGTCAAAGCAAGAACATCCGATGTTAGCAGCATTGACACAACTATTTTAACCTGGCTTAAAGAATGGATAATGCTTAGAGACAAAAGACTATTGTACCTAGAGGGGCATGACCTACAAATTGGTTGGCATGCCTTTCTGTGGTATGGGCAGAATAAAATACATGGATACTTTCAAAACCTTTTTATAAGGAATGCACTTCTTTCAGAATGGAAAAAAATAAAAGAAAAAATTTATATTAAGATACCTGGATGGCTTTCAATAATGGAAGATTTTGCTTACCCAAATTTAATCAATTATGATAAAGTTGTGACTTATAAAGATATTTTGGACAATGAAGGAAAATTGAAAGATAGACAAGATTTACAAGAACAAGGTATTGATCTAGCATGGTGGCCATATCTGCAAATTCAAATGAGATATGAAGAAGATGTTAAACAATGGGTTTTTATAAAGAACAGACAGAATTTGATCAGATATTGCTAAAAACTGATGAAAAGTTGATTAAGAAACTCTTTAGATTTCTGTTAAACTTAAAGATGGAGGAAGAACAAGTAAAAGAAACAATGATAACATGGGCAAAGAACTTTGGATATAATATAGAATTAGAAGATTGGCAAAAATTATGGAAAAGAAATATTAAATTAACTAAAGCAGTGGCATATAAAGAAAACTTATATAAAATGTTTTACAGATGGCATATGACACCAGTGAGATTAGCAAAAATGTTTAAAAATACTTCAACAGTTGCTGGATATGCAAACAAAGACCAGGTACTTATTATCATATCTGGTGGACATGCCCTAAAGCAAAAAGATTTTGGTTTAAAATACATTTATGGTTGGAGAAAATGACTAAAAAACAAATAGACTTTAAACCAGAATTATTTTTGTTAGGAATAATAGGAGCTAATTATGAGAAAGATTGCATATATTTAATACTACACGTACTAATGGCAGCAAGAATTGTATTTGCCTAACATTGGAAAAGTGAAAATTTACCAGCTGAAGAAGTACTAATTAAGAAAATTCTAGAGTGTACAGAAATGGATAGATTGACTTTACAGATTAAAGAGAAAGAAGACTCGGTGTATTTTAGAACATGGCATAATTTCTATCAATGGCTAGAAAAATGAGTTAGAGAGAAAGGAATGTAATAGTAATAGTAGTAAAGTTGGAAGGGTCCTTGGAGGTCATCTAGTCCAACCCCCTGCTCAGGCAGGAAACCCTACACCATTTCAGACAAATGGCTGTCCAGTCTCTTCTTAAAAACTTCCAGTGTTGGAGCATTTACTGCTTCTGGAGGCAGGCTGTTCCACTGATTAATTGTTCTCACTGTCAGGAAGTTTCTCCTTAGTTCTATTGAGCGATTAATTCACATATTGTTTATGATAATTAACTACTACCTATTATTGTTTGTTAAACATATGAACCCAGACATTATGCTGTTTGCTAAATGTTGAGAATGTTATTTGGAAAAAACCCAACCCCAACCCCAACCCTAATCCTAACCCTAACCCAAATCCCAACTCCAACCCAGACCCCACCTTATTCCTAACCCTATAAAAAGTAATAAAATCTATACAAAACAACAACAACAACAACAAATGGCTGTCATGTTACCTTGGGATGCTGCAACCTTTGTAAATACATACCAATTGCCAAGCACTCAAATTCTGATTATGTAACCGTGGAGACACTACAACATTTCTAAGTGTGAGGAACTGTTAACACCTTTCCTAACCCAGAGGTTGTTTTCTCTGAGACTGGTTCTTGACTCCCTATCATCAAAGAAGCTCAGTTAAAGCAAGGACATGGATAAATTTAATCCTTATATTAAAAAAACACACACAATTATCCAAGTTCTTAACCGCAATTATTAAAGTATATATGGCCAAAGTCACCCCTGTGGAATTGAAGTTTGGCTTGAAATATAACTCAGTACTAGAACAAAAACAATCACAGGATTTGAGTTAGGCGTAAATAAAAGGATTTCAGTAGTGCAATACTGAATTAGGAATTTATATAATTTGTTCCTTGTTTAAAATCAGGGCCTATAATTATTGGTGCAAAATTCACGCTATGGAAACTGACAGACTCCCCAAATTATGTCTGTTAGAACAGATAAAATCTCAGTTAAAAAACCTCTTGGATTCTATGATGGACAAATTTCACCAGAATCAGTCTCTTGTACAACTGGGGAACAAACTAGAACTATTGCTGCCCAAAGAGTCTTGGCTAGAGAAGCATAGAAAGATATAGCCATCCTCATTAAAGCTGGCAGAGTGGAATGAATGAGCCGCTACAAAGATACTTTTCAAATTGCCAAATATTTCAACACAGAAATGCCAAAATAACTTATGGTAGTATTTATTCCAGTCGGTTTTGAACAACTGGACACAATGGTTAAATATAGAATATTTAAACAAGTCCCTTGTAATGACTATTTGTGGAGCTCATATATTATTTGAATGTCAACTGTATAAGAAAGAGAGAGAATAGTATTTTGGACCACACACATTAGACCAGTGGTTCTCAACCTTTCTAATGCCGTGACCCCATAATACAGTTCCCCATGTTGTGGTGACCCCCAAGTGGGTGTGGCCACCAATAAGAGGGAATAGGACAGCTGGGGAAAAGGGAAAAAAAATGGCGGACAACGTGGTTTGGCGATCCCCGTGAAATGGTCATTCGACCCCAAATGGGGTCCCGACCCACAGGTTGAGAACCACTGCATTAGACAAACAACCTGTTGGAATCCCTTTATTTAAAACAACAAAATTCATGTACGGTCAGAATTTAAAAATCTGAATTTATTTGAATAAAATAGTTCAGTTGAGATCTGCATATATAAGTCTAACAGGGATAAATTAAAAGGATGATACAAAAATCTAATTTGCATTCTTTATTTTATTCTTTTTATTTAATCTGTTTCTGTTATTCCATTTTTATATATGGTCTTACTAACATTCTGTTTTTATATTCTGCATGTTGATATTGGCTAATCAAAAATAAAGTTATTAAGAAGGCATACTTGCATAATTTCTTCTTCTATCTGTACCCCAGACCAGGGTTTTTAGGATTCTGTAAGAATTTGATGGGATTCCAATTAGGAGAAAAAAGGTCCCTCAAATATAGTGAAATGGTATACCTCTTAGTTACAAAGCTGACCAATACTTGTGGAACGATGGAGAGAACTTGGCAGAGGTCCATGAAAGCCAACTGACTAAGAAAGAAGTACATGGGAGTCTGAAGTCCAGAGTCTGTTTTAATCAGAAAAATAAGGAGGCTGTTTCCCATCAGAGCAATCAGAAACATGAAGAGAAGCCCCCAAAGGAACAGGGTGGGTGACCACTGATGCAGAAGACCAACCAGAAGAAATTCTCTCCATGAAGTTATGTTCTCCTCTCTCATTCCTCCTTCGTTGCCAAGCTTTTATCTAAAGATATGAAAATAATTTGGGATAACTTTTGTCATTAACCTATTGAAATCGATAATTATTAATAGATATCAGCACGGTCAAAAGTGAAACCAAATCTAAAATTCCCTGCAAAGAGTTACACTGTTACAAAGTCAAACTTCCCACCCCTGTGCTGCGTTGCCTGATAGAATAGTTTGGTGGACTTTCTAATACCCCACTCAACCCCCTAGCATAACTGATAGAATGACCTTGGTTCCCAAGGGACACAGAATTGTTTAGACTAGCAAAAATCCTTCGCATCCCCTCACATTCATATGGCAACCTAGAATGAGCAAGATGGCTGCAGCCAGTTTCATTGTAGAGTTGATAGTAGCCATATGTTATAATGCACAAGTAACATGATTTAGAATTTGTCTTGGATTTGGATATGACAGCATTCTCTAACTTACTACCTTCCAGTATGGTGAGATTAGATTTCCAGAATTTGGGGGTATCCCAGCAGATCTCAAACATGCCAAACTGGCGAAAGTTGTCATACCTGACTGCACAAAGTCTCTATGAATCTGACGGGCAATCTCTAAATTTGATATATAAATTAAATGAAGAAAGAATTAACAAATTATGTATTGTTTATATTAGGGATCTCTATGCTACAAAATTGATTCTAAAAAGGTGTTTTTGAAAATGCTAAAATATGAAAACTGGCCTTGTCAGCAATTCTTCCATGCATGTTTAAAAAATTTTCCGCCAGACAAAGATGCTTTGAAAAGTTGAAGTCAAGTGTTACATTTGGGACTCATATGTTCCAAGGAGTGTTTTGGTGTCAAGTTTTAGACAAACTTACTTTGTTGCTATCCGTTGAAACTGTTGGAATATTTATGAACAGGAAGAGTCATGTGGTAACTCAGTCAGCCAATGTGAAGGAAGTGCTACTGAGTCTATGCAAAAAGAGTATTGAGTTAGGAGCTGGATTTTCCAGTCTCTGTTTTGTCTCTGGTCTGTCTCTGTAAGAAGTCTTCATTAAGCTATGTTGCTGTAAAGAAGAATGGTATTGTAAATATTTTTATATAAATATAAAGTTATTTGAATCAGCTAACTGCAGTCAACTGTGAGAGCTTCTGATTTATTTTTCACCAATAGAGAAATTAAAATTCTCTAACAGAAACGTTATAAGTTAAATAACTGTTATAAATTGTTTTATAAGCAGCATTGAAAAATAACCTAGTATTTTGCCTTTGTAACCTGAAACACTAAATATAGGCAAACATTTGCAGGAGATTACTCCTTTGTAACATTTTTTTAATGGTGTTTTCTTGTTGACTTCTGGTACTTGCCTAGACCAGGGGTCTTCAAACGTGGCCCTTTTATGACTTGTGAACTTC